ATATATATATATATAAATACTTTTATGTAGTTTTGAAATATATAAATTTTAGTTTCAAAAATTTAAAGAATTTATATCTAGTTTCGCGATCAAAATTAATAACTTTGACCCTCGTACTCCACTGGCTATATTACTAAAGTGAAACGAAGAGAATACTAAAATATATTTGAATGTATCAAAAAATATACTTCCTCCGTTTCAATTTAGATGAGGTAGTTTGACTCAGCACGAAATTTAAGAAAAAAAAAAGATTTTTGAAACGTATGGTCTTAAAAGATTAAGGGGTAAGAGCTTTGTGGAGCGTGACATTTTTGTGGTTATAAAAGTTTCTCATTAAGGGTAAAAATGAATAAAATAAAGAGTTTAAAGTTAAATTATTTTCAAATTTAGAAATATATTTATTTATTTTGGAACAGATTGAAAAGAAAGTACCTTATCTAATTTAAAATGGAGGGAGCAAGAAAGATACCAAAGCACGTTCACCAAGTTAGCACCAAGTCACTATACCCCTTTCATTTTGAAGGGCGGTTCTTGTTTCTTAACCCATTTGGCTTTCCTGAAATAAACTTTACAACTAGTAAATTGAGGTACATATATAGAGCATACGAGTGACCTTTTTAATTTTTGTTTTTAATCATCTGGTATACGAAATCCACATATTTGACTAATTCGAATAACGGCAATTAGAGTTACCAAGGAAATTAAAGTAAAATGTTTTCTGTGGAAAGGTGGGGTTGATAGTAACAGTTGAGTTGTTCATCAGTCACAATCAGAGAGGAGGACAGAAAATTAACAAATCAAGAAATGGGGACCTATAAAACACCAAATTTGATGGCACTGCTAAACAAATGAAAACTTCTATCGTTAAATCACGTTTATTCAGCACAAACACAAACACAAACCGAACGTACTACAGCAGCTTTAAACGAAAGGTATTATTGTTTGGTTTTATGGCAGCAATAATCATGCACGCTATTACTTCCAAATATGGTATGAATGAAAGAGAAAATTCAGTTAAAGTATTTGAGGATATGTGATTGCGTGTCACAAAAAATTGCTTATAGTACACATTTGTGGATGTGTTTCTCCGTGTTTATCGAGTAGTTTTCTGTGGAGGTTTTCATTATTATGTCATGCGTATGAGATATTGCGAATAGTCAGATAATTCTTTTTTTCTTATTACCGTGATATCCGGGAGCTCCACTAATTCCACGCGTAAGTAATCACCTAATGTTTTTATCTTCGTTAGAATTTGAACATAGGACCGCATGATTCTTACTTAGAGGGTGTTTGGTTAAGCTTATAAGTTGGTCAAACTGGCTTATAACATTTTTTGGCTTATCTACGCGTTTGGTAAAATTAAAAGTGCTTATAAGTTAAGTGCTTATAAGCCAAAAATAAGCCAAAACCCATAAGTTGGTCTCCTCCAACTTATCAAATTTCAGCTTATAAGCACTTTAAGTTTGAATAAAATATTTACTATTTTATCCCTAAAATACTTCTTTTTAAAACAAAACTCTTCGTATACCCAGTTCTTCAGCTGCAGATTATTAATTTCAGCACTTTTATCCAAACACATAACTGCTTATTTTTTAAATCAGTTTCAGCACTTAAAAGTGCTTATCAACACCTAATGCTTATCAGCTACTCTAAATCAGCTAAGCCAAACGGGGTCTTACTTTATTGACCACTAGGCCACACCCTTGAGTTTTAGTATTTATAATTTGTTCGTAAATTCAAATTTTATTTTATTTTATTTTTTTAATTAAATAAATTTTGTGTCTATTCAGAATCAGAGGCGGATCCAGAATTTTGGCAGGATGTGTGCATTATTAAGAAGACGGGGATCCAGGATATAAATTTTACGTGTTTAACCTTTAGTTCTTACTATTGTGCACCCATTGCTTATATATCTACTTTCCATGTTGAAAATGTTGGGATCAGTTTAACCCAATAACTATATGCTATATCATACACTGCTACTAATTTTAATATACACATTTTGTTTAATCATATAAGATTTTACGATGACAAAAGAAGAATAGGAATTTCAATGTGCGAAAATTTTGAAAGAATAAATCAAAGAAAAAAAAATAAAATAACAAAAAGTACTTAATTAATACGCAAAAAGTAACACCAGACATGCTCATCTCCTGTGGGCGTCTAGTTCTAAAAAAAATTAAAGAAGGAAAAACAGCAAAATTGACATAAGAATTGACCTTGCAACCTCACTTAGAGGGATACACCTAGTTTGAGCATGAATGCACACACATATATTTAAGTAATTTTGAAACAAATACAATATTACTATACATATTTTAGGGAGGGAAGCATGGGTTCACGTGCCCCATAAAACCCCCTAAATACGCCCTCAGAATATATTAAACAAATTGGGAAGAAAGGGAGTAATTATTTCTATAATTTATTATGTTAGTCCTGATTCTGCCACTTTAAAATAATTCAGCAATAGAATTTTGAGCCAATGAAGACTGTACACCGTATAAAATGTGTCTTAATGCAAAAACCATGCTCCACTAACAACAGTACATATATGAAATAGAAATTCTAAACTTTTGGATGTGACATGCATGGCCAAGATCTATCGTGATCAAATAACCCTAGCTACAGCACCAAGATTTCTTAGTTGGAGTATTCAACAAATAATGAAATGATACCAATAAATATTGTGGTGGAATAGACCGTATTTCTTTTCTTCGCCTTCAATTTAAGATTTCAAGTTCAACTTCTAAGAGTAAAAAGAATTCCAACAGAGTATATTTTTCTCTTCTAATATAAAATCTCATGCAGCATGAATCCAAATTAATCCGGTCTCATACAAAAACAAATAAGAATGAAGCGACCGCGTACTATAGAGTGTCAATGACTTCTGACGAGTGGACACAATCATGAACCGGCCTCAAATAACTTTTACAGTATTTCTTTTTGGCGTTTCTTTATCAAGGGTTAAACTGTCAAAAGTTGCAATCCCTTTTAACCAAGAAATTAAAGAAGTGTATGCTTGGAAATTTTAATTTTTATTGTTTAATATTATTTAGATGTAGACTTTTACCTAAAAGATCAAGTAGAAATAATCATCTATTTAATTTCTGTGAAGCAACAACATAAAAAAAAATTTATACTACCAAGGTAAAAAGACAAGTTCAGTGCATAAAGTATTTCGCATTCATTCTGAGTTTGGGGAAGGCCGCACCCCGAAGAGTGTGATGTAACATGGTTCGAATTCTTGACTTATAGAATACATGAAAATAACTTTACTGTTTCTCCTAGACTCCTTTTTACTACTGAGATATTTTAACTTATTATAAAAGGTATTACTTCCCTCATTTGCTACACACTAGTTATATGTAGTTCTTTTTTAGATAAAAATTCTGTATATAGAATAAAAAATAAGGCAAGCTATCGTCTTCTACCTATTAAATGCACTGGTGTAAACTTTTTACATTTCTTAAAATATATGTTTTTCCTTAAGAGCCTGTTTGGAAAGCCACCTAGGAATTGGATTTATTAGGAGTAGTTACACAATTTGACATGTTTGTCTAGCCAAGTAATTACTTGGTCAACATGGAATTTGGTGTAACTGGAGAGGTGTAATTACACTCTCCAATTCTCAAGGAGAAGACGAAAATTGGTAATAATTATAATGTGTAATTACAAGGTTACTTTTTAGTTTCATTTCTTTTTATTTTTATTTTTATTTATTTTCTTTATAACTTTTTATTTTTATTATTTTAAATTCTTTTTATTTTATTTTTACTTTTTAAAT